GGGGTAATCTGTTCAGGAAAGTCTCATGAATAACTAAATTTATGTTGCACATATAGGGGTAATCTGTTCAGGAAAGTCTCATGAATAACTAAATTTATGTTGCACATATAGGGGTAATCTGTTCAGGAAAGTCTTATGAATAACTAAATTTATGTTGCACATATAGGGGTAATCTGTTCAGGAAAGTCTCATGACACTAAAGAGTTTCTGTTAGTTGAATAGTAAACAAAATTAAAATGAGTCAGCCATTTTGAATCAGATCTGAGATCAGGAGCCAGAATGCCAGAAATGATTTAATTTTGATGAATTTCATCATTAAATGATTGCCATTTGGTTATATTGAATATGATGGTCAAACAAATACATGTGTATAGCATGTATGATTGTATATACAAGTTTGAAAATTATCGGTCAAGGCAAGTCAGAAATTCAGCTCCAAATCCACATTCATTAAAACAAAATGGCAGCCAGTCTTATCTAAAGAAGAAAAGGTCCCAAGTTTAAATGAAAACCACATATACACAACCAAGATATAGTTCTGGAATGGCAAATGTGGTATTAGGTTTGGAGGACTGCTTTGCATATATGCACCTATAATTCATTGTTTATTTTCAGTAACCTTGGTTGTTGAATATATTATATCATTGATCAGTGCTTAGAAAAGTTTCAATGTTTTTTGTTTTCAAAATACTGCCTTCTCTTGTAGTAAGTACACTTGTACTGCAATAAAAACATTTTTTTTCGCTATAGATTTTACTGTAACCAATTGGACACCAATATTCCTTTGTAACTTATGAGTGGATTTAAATGTACATAGATTTAAATCTAAAAAAAGTACAGTATTATTTGGTTTAAAAATGTGCCTGTGCAATGTCTAGGTTTTTCCCTTGCTGTATATTGATATCACAATGTGCTAATAATTTATGTACTTCACGATTTTCAGTAGGTGACTGAATGAAACAAGAGATACAAGCCATGCAAGGCACAGTCCCTATTAGTTATCAAATTTAAGATATATAGTTTTGTTTATAGTAATATAGCTGGAATATAACCATGTCAGGAATATGATTATGATGATTGTTTAACATTAAAATGATTGACATTTGTATCTGATCGTCAAACAAGTACTTGTCCATCTTGGGAGATATTGCTCTGGAACAGCATTAATTAAAACAAAATCAGCCATTTTGAATACATGAATGTATCTATAACATGATGTATAATGAATATATAAAATTTGAACATAAATCAGTTAAAGCATGTCAGATATATGGCTCTAGAAGCCCATTCATTAAAACAAAATGGTCGCCAGTCAGCCATTTTGAATCCGATCTGAAAAATAAAATGATGTGCATCAGGAACCCGAATGTCTAATGTATGTACCAAGTTTGAACGAAATCCATCCATAAATGCCAGCAATGCTTGATATTTGATGATTTTTTTAGCACAGAAATAGCCACCATTCGGCCATTTTGAATAGGATCGTCAAACCAATATATCTGTATATGTATGACATGATGTATAATGAATATTAAAAATTTGAACATAATCAGTCAAAGCAAGTCAGAGATATGGGTCGAGAAGCCCATCCATTAAAACAAAATGGGTGCCAGTCAGCCATTTTGAATCCGATCTGAAAAATAAAATTGTTTGCATCATAATGTCTAATGTATAAATCCATCTGTAAACAGCCGAGAAATGCTTGATCATGATGATTTTTTCAGCACAAAAATGGCTGCCATTCGGCCATCTCGAATCAGATCGTGAAACAAATTGACGTGCATATGTATAATATCATGTATGATGTATGTGTGAAGTTTGATTATGATTCGTCCAGGCATTTCTAAGATACAGTCTGGCCGCACGGACGCACAAGGGTCAAAACATAAGTCCTCGTTTTCGGACTG